CTGCTTTGAGAGTTTATGAGCTAGAATCGATCGATAGTTTTGAAAGATAGACCACAACAAGTAAAAGCCATGCCGTTCTGAAGGTACAGTATTTCGAAGCGCATGTAACCTAAATATTTCTTTGCAGCGCCCGATTTATATGGCGTACATTTGCGGACAAAAATAATTGAAAATAAAAGACAATTTGAAGTTCAAAAATTAGACTATCCATGTCGAAATCTCGTCGTATGAATTTGAAATCGCAATGAACGCAGTCGAAATAGCATCATTCGAACTTGAAGTTACTTTGAACAAGTTGAAACTGTAAAGGGAAAACTCGACATTGCGGATGTTGAAGTTCAAATCACCATTCCAACTAAAATGCAAATTACATGAACTTCAATTCACCTTCTCCACTCTAATAAGCCACTTAATCGTCAACAATGCAACCATAATCTTCCACAAAATTCCAAATGAAACCTTTAATTTGAACTTAAAGTCACGTCACATATTCGAATTCGAAAAATCAAAATTTCAGTTCGAAAGGAAGCGGAAGTAAAAATACACAGCAACCGAGTAAGTCAAGTTCTATTTCGACTGCGTTCATTGCGATTTCAAATTCATAGAACGAGATTTCGACATGGATAGTCTAATTTTTGAACTTCAAATTGTCTTTTATTTTCAATTATTTTTGTCCGCAAATGTACGCCATAGATTTATGCAAATTTTGAAAACAATGCGAGTTTCGAATTACAATCTCAATTTTATGGTAATTTGTCATGCCGAAAATATAATTGACGAACCTGATTTAAACCAATGAAATTGTAAGTTCTGTTATAAATAAATTTCCCACGACGAGATCTCAATTCAGCTTCTTTTATTTCCTCCACAACACAATTTTCCTCCTGTACAACTAGCTCATTACCTTCTCTTGTCGTCACCTCGCTGACATCAAAAAACTCCATACAAGACTTGCTGATAATGCAAAATCTCGACGCACAGCATCGTACATGTACCGCGTCACAACATACACAATTAGATGAAAAAACACAACACGCAATACAAAAAAAAGTTCATTAACCGTCACCCTGCTAAACAAAATTGAAATAATAAAAAGCAGTTATCACAGTAGTTCCAAAAGAAGCCTCAGTCCCTCTTGGTTTCAATTGTTGACAATCGTCTCTTCCTTCGTCGGAACAGAATTTTATCACAGGCAACTCGCTGTGTTCCGCAATGCAAAAATCAAAATCACTATTGTCACACTGATAACCAGCTACACAAATCTTGCGACTCTCGGCTTAACTACAGAATACTCTCAAACTTGTTCAACATTCCTCTGTTCAAACTCTTATCCATTTTACACTTACACTCCTGATATTCCGATTTGTTATTACGTCTGTGGGGTCCACGAGTCTTTGATGTCATTGAATGTCTTGATAATTTCCTTTGTTTTTCTTTGAGTTCGCGAACCAGCCCGTTCCGAAAACACTCAGGGTTATATTTTAGTGTGGGCCTACCGCGAACAATGTGTGCATTTGTAAGTTTAACCCGGGATAACACGATTGAACAATATATTAACACGTTCCTCGAAACGCCGCGGCCAAATGTCATCCAAACTGCTTCTCACTGCTGCTTCGAAAAATTTCGGATCAAACCATATCCAAATCGTCCCTCATTGGATTATCCACTCAACCTAACAAAATCGACCAATCACAAAATAAAGAAAAGAAAATGGACATAAAATAAAGAAAACAGCAAATTCAGATGACCTCTTAGGAAACATGCAATTAAAACTGTCTTTCAATGATTGGTGCATTTCGATCCTCTCGTCAAAAAAATGTCAGACGTCAATCATCTTAGCGGACCTCTTAGGAAACGAAAGTTTTTTTCAACGGGTCCAATTTTGTGATTGGTGGATTTCGATCCGTTTTTTTAGTTCCTGTGTTTCAAGGTTCGTTGCTTGTGATGTGACCAAAACCCGACGTTAATATTCCAAATATTTTTGATAGATTTCATTCCTGGACTTCAGACTTCCAAATTTCGATGAGGCAAAAATACTGAAGATTCAGATTAACTTTTGAGATCGTAGAAGTGCGATTAAGTGCCGTGTGCTAGCAGAGCTTTTTTCCCCACATGCCTCTTACCTTGTACAAGACGTTCGCATGGCAGACATTCGCCTCGCTTTGCTTGTTTACATGCGTTGTTTACGTTAGCACGTATTCTGTGCCTATTGCACATTTGCGTCAAAACAAGCCGTTTCCATTACTCTATTTGGGCCACGCCCAAATAATAAGCGAATTCCTTATGCGAACTCCTTATGCGCTCAAGTCACAGACAAATTTTGTGCGTTTCATGTATTTATTTCTGTTGAATTCTACAATTCTGCAAATGAAATGTAAGGTCGCGTAGGAAACATAACTGTACTTTTCTCGCACTGCGTCCAGAAGAAAGCATCACTTGAAGAAGTATAATTAAAGAGATCAGGACCTCGTGGCGCGACAGGACGGTGTAAGTATCGAATTTCGTTCTACGAAATTTGCATATTGGAGTTTGCGGTAAAATTGCGCGTCGCCGATGTCATTGATAAAAAAATTGTCACGCAAAGTTTAACGTGCTGGAAAAGACTCGTGTAACTTCCTTGTGATAGAGAAACAGTCAAGAGAAGAAGAAATGCAACCAATTGAAAAAAAGGTGAGGGAAGATCAATGGATAAAGAACGTCAGAAGCCAATAAAACCAGGAGAAGGCCATGGGCAAACGACTTTTGTTGTGTGGTGTGTTTTGTTGTGGGGCTTTTGCCAGGAAAGAAAAGTTTCAATTTGGAAAGAAATGCGAAGCCGAATCATGGAATGACATGGAAATTATCCCTCCTCCCCGGGAATTTGTGGGGCGTTTTCAGAACCACTGCAATTGCTCTACGGTAGAGCCTGGGGGCCGGGGATTCATACAAAGACCTCACGGTGGGGCTGAAATAAGTGTGCAAATTCCCGACCCCAGGATAACTCTAAAATTGCATTTTATTGTCATCTGTGGTTGAGGCCTAAACTTCAGCAATGTTATCAAATTTTATTTGAAGGAGATGTTTACCTTAAATGTATACTACTCGCGAGAAACGTTGTGTTTAAAATTGGATGGATCGACTTTTTCATATTATGGAAGAAGGGGTAGGACAAGTAAAACTAGCAACTCAATATCCATTAAAATGTAATTTATTGAAACAGCGTGATCAATGATTAAGATTTAATCTTTTACATCCAATCATACTGATCATAAGTACTTTATTAAGTAGTTCTAATAATTAAACCTGGTAGATATTACTGGTACAAAACATGCTCGGGACAGCCATTATGGAACTCTCTGAGGAGATTGTTGGGGCTCCTGTTATTTTGATTTGGATTAGAGACCGCCAATCTTTCTGTAGTTGAAAGTTCGTCTTTCATAAAACTAATCTGATTATTTGACGAAACCGATTAATATATTCTATTAAGCGTAAGTCAAGTTCCTGTCAAGTCAAACTAAATTTTCTTTTACTTGACCTGATTAATTTTTAAAATTGTTAAACTAATTAATATTTACATAAAACTATTAACCTGAAACGTTTTTCAAAATTTTGTACGTGCTAAATGCTGCCTAACTGGCTAGTTCTTGTTGAAACAAAAAAAACATTACAAATGTCTTTTGAATTTCTGCTTATTCCACGAATTAAGAAAACTCAGGACTTTATGATAACTTTCATTTTGGATGCCCAAAGCGGTTAATACGGTTCATATTTTTGGTAAGAAAACATCGGCATACTATTGTAGTTTTGATCTTCTTCTTCTTAGTTTTGATCTTCTGTATGGATAAAAAAGATACACTTTAAATTCTACCCGAGGCACCCGCGGAAACAAAAGGATAGATTCACTTGGCGCACAAACCGCCCACTTCGATTTACTAGACTGGTGTACTCCAAATTAATCCACCCGAGACAAAACGCCCATGAGAACAGCTAAACAAGGAGGACGGCTTTCCGTGAACAAAATACACATCAGTGTAAATTTCATACAAATAATGACAATAAAAGAGTACGTTAAAAATAACAATGCTTGATTATTTTCAGCTTTACACATTCATCTCTCAATTATACTGTTGTTATTTTCCAATCGCTTATGCCAAAAATAATCGTATTAAAAGCACGTGTCTTAAATGGTTTCTTGACTATTTACTTAAGTGACGGCTACAATTTATGTAACCTTAACTACAGCGTTTGTCATTGGTGGAAAAAGTGTCGTTGAAAGCCAATATTCATGACAACTTAGAAAGCAATAAGAATTTGTTTACATCTCCCTCTCCTTTCTACATGATGAGGAGGGATGCGAATCCTAAGTTTGTCCGACTAAATAGTTTCCTTTACGTGTCTGGTGTTCTTTTCAAGTCTGTGTGTTTCAATTTTTGCGTTCTTGATTTACCGTTGAGCTCTTAATTACAATTGTCATGGTAAGTTTTGTTGCTTAAAAACTAAAACGTTTGTTTCGCTAGAAGCGTGGAGATAACTGTTTTGATATTTGTAGACAAGAGTAGTTACGTACGATCAACAATTAGTGATCATGGGAGGCCGCATGCGAAGCAGCTGGTTCGCTCAAGACTTTTCCATAAGTCAATAAAGTATTTCCTAGTGAACTTGGTTGCTATAGGATGAGGAGATAACTGTCGAGTTCATTTTCTTGCGTGCTTTCATGGTTTGTCTTATCATCTTTCCTCTTCATCAGGACCAAGTCTGTAACTATAAGACGCTGGCATTCTTAGATCGTTCCATTGTTGTAATAGAGTCAAATTATTTCTCGAGCGGTCTCGACGCTTCTAGGAGGATCGGAATAAATGCCATTACTGCGGAAATCTCACATCCGGGCTATTTATGGTTGGGATCCAGTCCTCTTCTTCAATTCCATTCTCAAGGGGTTCAAACTTCACAAGATATCCAGTAGTCTTGTTATACGCAATGATGGCTCCTCTAAACCAACCAATGTTGATCATCTTCCCATTATTTTCTTCTTGGTACTCCACTTCTATTTGACTACCTATCAAAGCTTGACCTGTTTTTCGTCTGTTGCTCCGTTTACTATTGAGAAGACAGCGGCGCTTGTCTGAGGGAGTTAAGTCTAGCATGGCTTTTCTTTCATCGACTTTGACAAGACTTGAACGTTTTCGTTTCCGCTTGTTGGGATTGGCTTGCTGACTTCTTGATCTGTAGTCAATGTTGATATTCTTTTCTTTGGCCACTATTTTTACAGCGTGCAACCTGTCTTCCAGGTAGATGTTTTTCAGGAGGACTGCTATATTATTGCTACCCTCAGGAATTGATTGCCTATTCAACGATTCGGCAGGATTGTTCGTGTTAGGGGATGAATCCCAATCTTCGGTGTCCCTTAAAGTAAATGCCTTGCAAAGCATCCTTAGTATTCTTTCTCGCTGCCACCATACCGCCCAATGTTCTGCCTTTTTCCAATGACCTGTATCTAGGGAGGCAGCGTGGCCGAGTGGTCAGCGCGTCGGACTCGCAATCCGGCGGTCCCGGGTTCGAGTCCCGCTCTGGCCACTTGCTGGATTTGTGCTCGGTCGTCCAGAGTTTAAATTCTCGACCACGCTTGTAAATAGCCAACTGGTTGCCTTCTGCCAGTTGGGGTTTTTAATCCTGTTATGTTGTATTTGAATTATTTGTTTCTAAATATTTGAGTGGAGTGCCTGTAAATTAGCTGACTAGCTAAGTGCACCTTCCACTATAAACATGCCTTTAACCTTTTTTTTTTTTAATGTTTGAGCAATTTCGCTAAGTCTAGCCAAAACAAAACCTCATACCACAATCCCTAGTCTTGATAAAATCTTCAACCAACTGATCAGTTTTATGAAAAATGATACCCTATTCTAGATCCAGTTGATTTGTATACCCTATCCTAGAGTAAACTGCTTGAAAACCATACCCTTCACAGCGGCACATACCTATATAGCCCATATATATATGGCAGTACCGCCTCCCGGGGGTAACATCCAACAATGTTGCGTCTGTTTGCGGGGGACTTACTACAAATGACTTACAATTAATAAATTATATTAACTTATTGAGTACCTGCCTATCATCATCATTGTCAGGATGTTTTTTTTGATGTCTTGTTTTTTTCATAAATGCCGTGAATTTGGGCATGTTCGAGCCCAGTGCCCAAAACAGACAGGCGGCAGAATGGAGGCAGTACCGGAACAAAATCAACAACGAAGAAACAGAGAAGCAACAGAGAAAGGCAACCCAATAGTGAACAATTTCTATTTCACTACGCCACATTAAAAGATATCTTAGGGTAATTTCCATTTGTCAGAACTGACTGACCGGCCACACCATTTCTGTCATAACGACATAAGGACAATTTAACTTTCAGAAAATTATCCATTTCAAAATAGTGTACACGAAGGAGATGGTGTTTCAGCAAAAACTCTTAGAAAAAGCCTATTTCAATGTCGAAATGACTGGTCAGGCCATGGTTCGGCCGGCAACGCAGTTGTGACTTTTGGAAAGCGCCTTTAGTATAGTATCAAATGACAACTGATTAAAAATGATCACTTCAGAAAACAACAACCTATGGTGTGGTGTATTAACGGCTAAGTTGAAACTCCCATTTATACACGTGGAATATATTAAGCCATTCATTAAAGGATAAATTGATTATCCCGTACCTTGGTTGTATGTAGGTAACGGCTAAGTTGTACCTCCTACGGCTCACTCAATTCCCACCCGCCCCGGGCCTTTCTGTCAGGCTGGTGGGGAATTTGTAAATAATAAAAAATAGCGGCTAAGATCGTTTTGCGAAGGGTGCTTCACTGTCAGGTTTTCATCACATAATAATGGCTCCTATCATTATAGCATTTGCAGGTGATTTTCTGGAAATGCAATTTTGATGTTGTCCTGTGTTGGGGCATTTAAACCCCTTTATTAAGCTCCATCGTGGGGTGTTTGTATGAACCGCCTAGTCCCATCGCCATTAACCTCCTCTTCAACAATATATTATAACCTCCTCTCCACACATGTATTGGAAATATTTAGCCGTTTAATAACGGCTAAGTTTAGCAGTCTCTTTATATGTTTTGGAGGTATTTAGCCGTTAAATAAAGGCTAAAAACACATAATACTTATATAATGGGATAACTTATATATAACTTATATAATACTTATGTAGCTGTATCCTCATATATATCGGAAATATTTAGGCGTTAATTAACGGCTAAAAATGCATGATACTTATATAGTGGGAAATAGTTAGCCGTTATTTAACGGCTAAGTTTAGCTGTATTCTTATATTTATAGGAAATATTTAGCCGTTAATTAACGGCTAAAAAGGTATGACACTTTTATAGTGGGAAATATTTAGCCGTTAGATAACGGCTAAGTTTACCTGTATTCTTAAACATATGGCAAATATGTAGCCGTTAATTAATGGCTAAAAAGGGATGATGTTTATTTAGTGAGAAATAGTTAGCCGTTATTTAACGGCTAAAAATGCATGATACCTATATAGTGGGAAATATTTAGCCGTTAATTAACGGCTAAAAATGCATGATACTTATATAATGGGAAATAGTCAGCCGTTAAATAACGGCTAAGTTTAGCTGTATTTATATATATATCGGAAATATTTAGCCGTTAATTAACGGCTAAAAATGCATGATACTTTTATAGTGGGAAATAGTTAGCCGTTAAATAACGGCTAAGTTTAGCCGTATTCTTATATGTACGGTAAATATTTCGCCCTTAATTAACGGCTAAAAATGCATGATACTTATATAATGGGAAATAGTTAGCCGTTAAATAACGGCTAAGTTTAGCTGTCTTCATATATATATGGGAATTATTTAGCCGTTAATTAATGGCTAAATTTCTCGTTTGTATAAAGATTTATGAAAATTTAGCCGTTAATCAATGGCTAAATTTTTCGTTTGTATAAATAGTTAATGACATTTTAAGTTATAAATAGTTAATGAAAATTTAGCCGTTAATTAATGGCTAAATTTTTGGTTAGTAAAAAGTAAAATTTAGCCGTTAATTAATGGCTAAATTAATCCATTAATCCATAGGTTTAGTAGCTCTTTAACTTTCGTCGTGTTTTATATCTTCGCAAATAAATTGTCGTGGTAAATTTTTGTGTTTTTTCTTTGTTACTCTCTTACGCGTCACGAGAACCCTCTGGAAATATTTCCCTATGGTGACCCTCCCTCCCCACTGGAAAATTAGGCAAATTGACCCCCCCCCCTCCCCCCTGGAAAATCCGATCCCTTCCGTGGGGGGATGGATATTTTCTGGAACCGCACATTGGCCTTTGCTAAAATGTTGATTCTGGAATCTTTGAAAGTTTACACAAAAGTGTAAAACTTGTAAAAATGTAGTCAAGCAAGTTCGAGAATATTTAGCTACTGCAAAATAGCTCGCATGCAACCATTATTAGTTGTTAATTGATGTGTTCGCTTTGGCCTTCCAGGTTGGGATACTGGATGCTGAGTGGACACATTTGGACCAAGTACTACGAATGGGAAACGTGACATGAAAAGACATACACCAGTCTTCTGGTTGAATTATAAAATAAACCTTGGGTAGATAGATCTTCTCTGAAGCCATCATACAAAGGTTTAAATTACGTAATTACACCTTGCTGGTTAATGCAGTAAACACGTTATTTTTTTACTCCAATTTGTGTGCTTTTTTCTTTCCTTTCCTACCTCGGAAAGATGGTTAGTCAAAGCTGTATGTACAGTAGTTCTGTGTTCTACATTACACTCGCAGAAAAGATTTTAGTCTTCCCATCTCGTAGACCTTTCTTTCACATTTATTATTCTTTTACATTTATTATTCTTTTGTGTTCATGAAAATACAAGTGATTACTAACAAGGGCACCAAGAAAAAATGTCAAAGTTTACTATATTATAAGAGGCTTGCTACACCATACCTTCAGCCCCGGGGGGGGTACTTGGGTTAATGTTTGCTGGGTATGTGCCGCTGGCCCCTTAGAGCCCCTACCCCATTATAGTCTATTTTTTGGCCAATTATAGACCCCATCTTAGTCACTTTTTGGAAAAGGTAATTTTCGCGATCCCAACTTAGTCACTTTCTATTTATGCATCCTGACCTTATCAATGTGGTTTCAAGCGGCGGAATGTAATGCGGTCAGTGCGAGCTTATAGTTAAATTTAATAAACAACAACTTTCTGATTTTATAACCGAAAATCTTCCCATTTTGAATCCCTCCTTACCCCCAAAATCCTAAAATTTGCGACCCCATTCTAGTAAATCTATTGAAAATGCGACCCCATTATAGTCACTCCAGTCGTGAAAATGCGACCCCATCCAGCGGCACTTCCCCATTAGCCTCTTGTAAGGGAGTACCCCCCCCGGGCCTTCAGCATACATGTGGAAGTTAGTGTCCGATAGCCCAGGGTTAGTGGATTTTGCCATCGGGCTAGTGGATTTTATCCTTCACTTGCCCGATTGAAGTTTCACAAATTAATTTATTAATTCATCACACTTCCAAGAATTTTTCAAGCTATTGGAAATGACCTCTGAGTAGTACTTCCTGGCTTCAACTAACCTGAGATCAGGCTCTATTTTCGTTTCGCTTTGAAAATTACATTCCGGCGGGCAAGGCGAAACGAAAAGAGAGCCTGATACAAACCTTTAACGAAATGTCTGCCGCCCACTTTTGTGATTGATTGACATTTGCCGAATCAGCCAATCAGAATTACTTCCGTTGCTTGTTTTTCTAGTATGCAAATTTTTCACGCGTGGGAAAAATGCAGACTGACTTAAAAAATAGCTTTTATCTGTAAATTTTTTCAGCTAAAAATAAAACAGTCAGCACAATCACATTTAACTTCTTGCGAGATTAAGGGAGATCTTGAAGATTACTTCTGTTGGCGTAGAAGGTAAAAAGTTTTCGAAAAGACGGCGACACGATGTTCTACTAGTTTTATTATTTTGGCTAGGCGCTCTGGAATTTAAAATACCGAAATCTAAATTTTTCCGTTGTCTTGATATTTTCCTCGGCAATCTCCCCCGATTTTCAGTACATAAATCTTTAAAAACAAAAGCAAACAGCCAACGAGCGAGGACATCAGTTTTCTTGGTTTACTTTTAACAAAAAGCGTAGTCAAACAACCAGTCTGTGAACACTGAAAATTCCTTGAACAGCGATGCGATATTTTTCGTCTAATACTTCACAGTTGGCGATTGAGGTTTCTTTCGCTGTGAGCCTCCGCTTGCGTACCCCGTTCAGAGAAGTCATTCCCGGCTAAACTTTCAAATGAAACCAGTTTTAAGATGGACAGTATTTTGATTTGCACCCGTTTGTTGGTAAATCAACATGCGCCTTGTTAGCGGTCAACAACTTGCATAGGGATTCAACTCCGCGATACACTCA